CTTTAAAGTTACACTTAGTTATAAATAAATTTGTTGAGTCCCCCTCTCATATAAATTTCTCATATAAATTTTCATGTTCCAGGAAGATTTACCGGGCATGACCGTCTTTTCCATATTCCCCTTTTGCTAAGAAACTGGATGGATAGATTGGTTTGTCTCGTATCTGTAGGATTGGAAATGAATTTTCCTCCTTTATTGACTTCTTTCAATTAGGTATCCATTCCATCTTTTAAACCGAAGATCAAGAGTTTATAAACATCTTAAAGCCATGTTATATTGCCCATGAATTTGTTAATAAATAAATAATTATACCTAGAACTCAGAAAAGATTTGGTTTTAATAATTTTTAAGGGTTGACCTGAAAAATTTGTTGGTAAAATTTTGAGCGGAAATCATGCTAGTTGAAGCTGAGGAGTTACCTACGAAGTGCTTGAATAAATGATAAAATGATTGACAAGTTGACCTCCTGCTGACATATCAACGGTGTAAGTTGACAATCACATAACTCAGTTTGCGACGTCGCAGACTTCCTGTCATACATTGATTTTTAGACAGAAAACTACTCAACAGCAATTCTTTGAAACTGCCGTGATTGTTCTTTTATGTGTGAGGAAAATTCTGCAAAAACTTCAAGGAATGATGTCAGTTTGTTCTCCTTTAAAAAAATAACAGAGGCGGAGATTTACAGACACCGCAAACGAAATATGGGATTGAGGACTTAAGCTGTCAATATATGTATGATCTTTTCTTACTGGCTAAGGGTTGAGATGTTCTTGGTTCAGATAAAATTTTTGATTGAAACTTATTTTGAAGACCATAGGTGAAAGCATGATATTCACTGTTTAATTCTGGACAGACATCTAAAAATACAAGCTATCAAATTTTGGTTTCTGTAAAAGTGCTTTCAACAAAATCAGCCTTGCTACATAACAAGTTGACTTATTTCCTGGCATTATTCATTTTTGGACAAAAAAGTAAGCAAGATTTTGCCTAAAGATTTCGAAGATATGCTCTCTTACAACTAAGGGAAAATTCACAGAAAGTTTCAAGGTATTATTTTGCTTAGCGTTGAATTGAAAAATAATGAAAAAAGGAGAAAATAGACATCAAAGTATGCAGTTGAGCTGATTTGTCTAAATGCTCTTCATCTTGTTTTCCAAGAGAAAAAAGAGGGAACTCCTTTCAATTTAGGATTTTTACAGAAAATTTTCCCACACATAAAAAAAAAAAAAAAAAAAAAAAAAAAAAAAAAAAAAAAAAGTGTAGTTTTTAAGAGATGATATTAATTATTTTCTGATTTAAAAAATTAACGTAAAAATTGTGTGAGGTGAAATCCTATGTTTGCGACGAACTGTGAAATTTTCAACCATATAAACCAATAATCTTGGTCAGAATTACTCCATAAAACATGAATTGCATTGCAACACCTCACGGGATTTAAAAACCAGTGCACGTGTCAAATAATCAGATGACGAGGCAGGGGAGACCAAATTTCAAAAAGAGGAACAAAGAAATACACTTTAAAATCCACAAAATATAAAACAATAAATTACAAAACGTTTACGAGAAAATGAACACAGGAATACTTCAAAGATAGAAATTAAACCTTCAGAGATATAAATGAAAGCATTACCAACTAAACGGCTATTATGCAAAAAAACTAACCGCAGGATGAATGATCAATGGTTCAGTTTTCTTCCATCATTTACCCACGCTAGGATTTAAGAGATGACGATTAAATTATAAAGAAATGAGAAAAATCAACTCTAAACTAGTTTCAAGAGTCCTATCAGCACCTCTATTCTCACTTAGAGGAGAAAAACAAAAAAGAAAAGAAAGATGAAAACTACCTTACTGTGCTGAGTAAAGTTTCTTTTGAGAAATAGTTATTTATGCAGCAAACCCTTAGTACATAGTTCCTTTTATCATAAATACATTCAATCAAGAGGAATTGCCAAATTACGCTGGAAAATCAACATTTTTGCATCAAATCTTGTGGGAATAATGCTTATTTTTAGCTAACTCTGGCAACTATGATGTGTACTTTGGAAACAAAAAAAGGTCTTCGAGCCCTCCAAGGATGCTTCAATTAAATAAATTCATGGACTGAAGCTTAAATATCCATCCAGTATCATCATAAGACGAGTTATTTTCATTGGACAATATCAGTATCTTCCTCTCTGCGTTTACTTCTGCTTTGACTAGGATCACATTTTTCACTGATGAAATTAAAGAAAAAAAACCTCATCATTTCAGAACCAATAAAATAAAAATCTTTTGAGGCAGGAGAAACACAAAAAAAGAAAACGATACCAAAAAAGAATTGCTTGCATAATTTTCTGAAGCAACCTGGCAATCCACGGTTATGACACAACTAAAGGAACTAAATCTGTCATTCATCGTTCATTAGGGAGAAAGTCAGTTGGATTTGAATCTACAATGCTGATGGCCCAAAAAAGAATACAATATTTGTAACAGGCGAGATGACTTAATTGTCCATTGAGAGAAGAGAAGAGCATGTAGAAATATAAACTTATTTACAGTTGCTAATAAAAGAAAAACAACATAACAACTCTACACTCTCAGATAGTAAATGAGAAAACAAGTTCATACAAAATAAATTAGCTATAAATATTACAAGTTTTAGTTAACTGAACAGCCAAAAATAGATAGCCGAAAGAATGATTAAATAGCCAGATAAAATAAAACATTTAGACTATAAACGTAACAAGAATTGGTCTCATAAACTTAGTGCGAAAGAAATGCAACGTTTTGTTCTTCAAGGTTGAAAGAAGTTAGGTACATGAAAGGAAACACAGTGCTTTGACAACAATAAAGACACGACAATTATCTGATTGCGATAAAAGTCGTACAAGAAAATGAAAATGCGGGAGCTATTGTGCAAAACCAATCCTACAGTATTTGAGGGTTAGTAAGTACATTGTTTCAGACACGATGGGCAAAATTTCATGGATTAAAACAATCACTGGCAAAAGTTGATTAATAAACATTGGTTGAAGCTAAAAGCTATTTCAATAAGAAGTACTTCATTAAATTAGGCTGCAATACTTTAACAGTTTCAGGTCAGAGGGTTTCCAACGAATAATGTGGAACTTTTGGTCCTGCTCTAAAAAATTAAAAAAAATTTAACATGCTGAAATTAAAGTTAGTTGAACAATAGAATTGGAGGGATGGAAAAAGAATGTATTTATAAGCTACTGAGTAAACTCAACAAGGATAAAATACCAAGCTATGAGAAACTGATGCAAACATGACATTTTTATCTACATGTGCATACACACATCCTCGTGATGAACGTAAACATTTATTTGGAAGCCTTGATTGGAAGATATGTTTTAGAAGATCATTTCACATGAAGTGACACCGCGTGACCAGTAGCCACTGACCAGATAAACTTTGCATTTAATTTCCTTACACCAAATACATGTCTGTTAGGGATGTCTTTTCTTTAAAAGAGGAAAAATACGAAGCCCTTAATATGTTTATGACCTTTAAAAGTAGCACAAATCAATATCACAGGATGTGAATGTCCGGGTCTTGAAAGCGGTATGATTCAAAGTCCAAGTTCAAAAAGATGAATGATAAATTGCCACTTTGTAGATCTTTCATACTTAAATAGACGCTATTATTTTCAAGTCATCTATTTTGTGTATTCTATGTGAATTAGAATAAACGGCTTTCACCTGAAAACAAGTTTATACTGCTTTTCTGCAAGAAAGTAATATCCTGGTGGGTAACTTAACTGATGTACTTGTCAACAACTAAATGTGCCACAGCCCATCAAAATTTACCTGCTTCCTAAATATTGATGAACTGATTGTTACAGAAAAATGAAAATGAAGTAAAGGCCTCGATAGGAGATCAAAGTGCCCATCGAAATGAGAGAAATTGTGTCAGAGTTATCAGTCCGAAAATCCTTACTTTGCATTATTTTCAAGTAAAAACTTCCGGCAGAAATGTTCTATCTAGCAAAAAATAATTAAATGATCACATTCCTCTTTCATAAAAATTAGACAGCCCGTTCAATTTAGTATGGCACAAATGCTGCACGGTGACCTACAGTTATCAAATGATCTATTTTGATCGGAATTTGATCTCTATCGAGGCTATACAGATCACCATAGCAACATTTAGCGGGCTGTTAAAAACTGATGAAGAATCCATGAGTTTGATCAAATGAAACGTGCCATAATTATATGGGACCATGTGTAGTCATTCTCCAAGTTGGTTCTTTTAAATTAGCGACACTCCATGCATTTATCTTTAGAATTATCCTGTGTAGGAACACATTTACTTGCATACTTCCTCAATTAAAGCATAGTTAGTGGAAAAATGATTTCTCAACGAAAGGGGAAGCACTAGCAGCAGATTATTCTCACATTCAACAGATAAAAAGTTAGCTTTGATAGTGGACTAAGTGCCAAAAAATTGATCCCGAAGTATTCACATTTTTATTTCTGACAACTACCGCGTTTTACCACTAATGCTGTGTTTCGGCCATTACACACAATACTAAACTACAAAACTACAGATGAAATGCCATGTCTAAATCAATTTTCAATTTTTTGGCACTTAACTCAGTGATGATAAGTCTTCAGATAGTTCTATATGACAACATCATCTGGAAATTGTAAGTTCAATTAATTTGGAGATAGCCATGGAAAAATGTAGAATGTAGGGGACTTGTATTTAAACTAGAAAGGTCATGTGAGGAGCCTGCTTAACAACTTATCTGACCAAAAAATGGAGAAGTGGCGTGTAAATAAATCTTGAAAGTTCTCACAGGGGAAAAAAAAGGTGTACGAAACAACAAATTTTGACTCTGAGGTATTGGTTTCGAATTTGAATAAGTCATGAAATAATTTCCATGCAGGTATTTAAATGCAAAATTTTTGATACGATAGACACAAACCGACTTGAATATATTTTTTTTTTCAAGCTTAACAAATAAGCTTCATACTTTGATGAGAAACGTCTGCTTTCCTACAATGCCACAATGTCATATTTACTCAAAAATATTGAAGGAAAACTCAAAAAAATTAGTAAAACAGACCAGGAAAAGAGGTCCAAATCCTATTAACTTTCCTTATTCCTCCCTATCTCTTTAATTAGGAATTTTTAATGTCGAATTGTTAGAGTCTGATTTTTTACGATATTTTAATAGTACAACTTTAGAACTTGTAAAAATTACCAGAATTACATCATATAACAAATTATTTTACGAGTTGTGCTACCGAGGAAGACTGCAGAATTTGTTTAGCATTTCACATGATCTTCGGTTTCTGGATTGCTGCACCTCAATCACTTTAATCTTCAAACCCATTTATTTCGAGATTGTAAAGCATAGCTTGGCTCTCCTTCAATCCAACTCTTCTAAGTAGTGCGGCATAGATCCAATTTTTACTAAGCATTTATCAATGGCGGAGAAATGCGTTGATGAAAGGAAATTTAGACCGAAAATTAGTCTCTACCGAAGAGTTATTAATTTTGATAAACAGTTTAACCCTGAGGACTTCTCATCTTGGACTTTTTTAATTTTTTTGCTGGTATACAGATATTGGTCTGGTATAATCATCTATGACATGCACTAAGCATCTAAATAAAAGAGCTACAAATCTGTCATACACAGTGGTTTCCACTAAGAGAGAATACAATTTCACATGCAGACAAAGGAAATTAGGAGTGTTTTTCATCCTTGAAAACAAACATAAAATTGCCACACCAAAGAACATCAATTCTGTTACTAGCTTGTAATATAAATAGATGGAAAAAGTGAGATTAAAAAATAAAAACATTAACAAGATAAAAAATAACAGATAACAAAAGTTAAAGGAAAAATTAAGTACTTAGACTCGACTAAAAAAGATATGAAATTGCACTTTACTTCAAAAGAACTTTAACTTATATCTACAAAATAGAGTCTTGACTGTAAAGAAGAATTCAGTGCAGGTAAAATTCTCAAAGAAAAATTAATGAAATCTAATTCAATCGATACACAAGGTGTTGCGAAAGTTTTTTCATTGGCAGTCATTTAAAGAAACCAAAAAGACAAGCAATATGAATAGTTTATGCAGGTCTCTGTACACACTCTTCAATGGGCTGATTATTAAAATTGATAAACAAAGCAACAGACAGAAATTACAGGACAAATGGAGCGATCCTGTTGGTTGATGCGATACAAGAGAAGGGAAATGATACACTAACTATAAGGTCTCTGGTTAGTCGCCGTTAGTTAGTTCTTTACTTGCCTCCATTGTCCAGTGCAACCAATCAGTTCCACCGGTAGGATTGCTCCGTTTTCTCTGTGCCTTCTTTGTCTATCTTTAAGTCTGTCAATTTCAATAATCCGCCCGCACATATCAAACACGATCTGGTCAAGCTCATTTGGTTGAGAATTTAGTCTCTTAAGAAGAGTACTTCGAAAGACTTATTATGGTTAATCTGTTAAAATTTTGACTCTTTCAGAGCTGCTGTTCCCCATCACTCACAGTTTTTCATTGACAATTTCTGTAGACAGTAAATTTTATGTCATTTTTTTGGGGCCCTGTGATAATCACCTTTCAGTCTTGATATGCTCACCGATAACTAAATAATGTCAAATGCAAGAATGAAATAGGAAATGAATAGTCGATTTATGTCAATTGCTGAAATTAAGAGGAACCTGCGACTGTTCAGACTAGCCTCATGGCCCTGTTTGGGGTTGTTCTTGAGAGTTAACATTAAATTTTCTGATTTTGACATTCATCTATCTACCAGGATATGTGACTTCTGAACATAGCATTCAACATTAAATTTCATAGGGTCTGTTTTGATACGGCACCTAAAACCTTTATCAAACATATTAAATGAAAACTCAGCAGGGTCTTTTTCAAAGCTCCAGAACAAAATTTCAAGGAATAAATAAACCACACCTTGCTGCCTTTTTGGGTTTTCTCACAGGAGGGCCACTTAAAAAACTTCCTTGACAACTTGAGGGACCTACATAAAAAGAAAACAGGACCAAATATTCATTAAGATAGTTAAGATGATAAAACAAACAATTTATTCTCCAATTATCTATCTGGATCTCACAAAAATAGAAATAGAAATGGTTTTTTGAAACTTATACTTCCATTTGTGAGAACACAAAAATTTGGCATTTCCCCCCCCCCCCCCCCTTTTTTTAATAAAAAGAAAGTAAAAATCATCTACTTGATATGGAAAATAGAGAGGGTACTTATGTGATCAATTCAGTCAGACATGGAGATACTTATGAAAAAAAAGAAGCAAAACGAGATATTGTTACAGTAGGTAATTATGAATCTAGCTGCTTTTTCGATCAGACTAAAACTGCAACGAATTAAATAGCAGTTAAGGAAGCTCAAAATCTGTTGATTTTGTTCTTGAATTTTCATCATTAACATGTTAAAATGAAAGTGAGACTTTTTCGACACTTCAAGTGCCTTTGACAGTAATCTTTTTCAATGTTAAAAATGTCTCTTTCTCCAGAGTCCTCTTAGTGAGAATCAAGAAAAAAGAAACAAGAAAAAATAATCTTGAGACAAATAAGTTAAAGCAGACTGCACTGAACTGGATACTAATTTTTTCATAATTGCTTTATAATTCATTTCATACCTCATCAGAGTTGCATTCTGTACGCTCCGATACAGAGGTTAACTGGTAGAAAACATTCAATGCATGAGAAACTATTCTCTGTATAGGTGTTTTTGGAACAATATTAACAAGGGGTTTTCATTTAAAGTCGGAATTAGAGAGCTAAATTACGCTCATGAGACACCTGAAGTAATTTTATCTATATTCAGTGACACAATTCAAAGATGTGAGCGATAAGATTGCATTAGCAAAGGACTGTGAGTCGAGAGGTGATGGACCAGTGGAACTTAGCTATTGCGGAAGTAGCTGGATCTTAGGGTGAGCCAAAGACCTTCTGGAGCTGACGATCCGTCTTGAATTCTCCAAATTTCTATTATTTGAGTTACCTTCGGAAAAATAGACTCGAGATTAATATACACTTAAAACGATTATTTTTAAAAGTAGAGAGGGGACTTATAAGGTCAAGTACTCAGGTCCTTCTCTTGATATATTAAAAGAAAAGTGGAAGCCTCACAAAATCAAACAATACAAAACAAAATAACAAAAACAAAAAACTGAAAAAAATAAGAAAATTTGAGCACACACAAAACTAATATTAAAAACCTAGGTACGAAAAGATAATTAAAATTATTGGCAAAACTCCAAAGAAATATATGTACTTCAAACAAACAAAATCTTATGCATTCTATCATGCAGAATCTAAATCCTCTGCAGAAACTAAAATACAGTGGAACTCCCAAACCTTGTGCCTTGTTTGCAGTGTTTTAAAATCTCCGCTCCCTTTTTTTTTTAAAAAACAGGACGAGTCATCATACTTTGAGGCTTTTCCGGAATTTCCTTCGCTCAGAGAAGAAAAATCACCAACATTTTTAAGTAAGTTGAATAGTTTTCCATTAAAAAAATGCAATATGACAGGAAGTCTACAACGTGCAAACCGAGGTAAGTGATTTGGGAGTTTTACCGTTTTAGAGCTTCAATAGATTCTATAGAGGGACTGTCCGTAGGGGAAACGACCTTAAAGCTGAAATAAGCAAAATTAAATTAGTGATACCATCATTTAGAGAAGTGTTTCACAAAACTTATGCCTTTATAAAGCTTAACAATTTCAAAGAAACTAGAGCTGAGAGTTGAGATACTTTCAAGAGAATTAGAAAACCATGGATTGTGGGGAAAACTTTGGGAAGTTTGCTTGACCATGCTTTAGATTAAATGAAATATTTCAAAATGCTTTTTACCAGCATCTTCTACTAAAAATATTAACTAACCTACTTTTGGCTATTTATCTCGGAAAATATGGGGCTTTTTCCGGACATTCTCTATCGAGGACTCAACAAATTTTCAACTCATCTTCACATAAATTTCTCTTCTGAAAAATTGCCACTTAAAACTGAGGTTTTCTTCTAAAAGAGTGGGCACAAGTTATTCAAAAAATGCTAGACAGACCATTCTGTCCGATTTTTTTTTTTTAAAAAAGCAAACCGGCGCTTGGAGTTTACAACAAGTTCAGTTCTGTAAACTCTGAGACTTGTCAGTTATTACAGGCCATGCAGAAATGTTACTTGTGCTCTTAGTTCAGAATCTCGCATTTCTGGCTCCGATATCCAAATCCACACTCTCTCAGCAAAAAAAGAAGTTGGTATGTCTACATAGTCTATGGCGATAGTTGGTCGACTAGAGGTATGCCCACATTGAAAGTACAAAAATGAATGTCTCAATTGCAGTGCCCTCTGATTTTGCTACGATTTCATTTTTCAAAGGGACAATACATGACGTTCTTCGATGAAACTTCAGAAAATACTCTTGAAGAGAAAAAGAGAAATCATTAGAGATTATGGGAATTAAGACTGTCTGCCATTCTTTAAAAAAGAAGTTCGTAATTTCACGACTAATTTTCTTGAATGCTTTGGCCGGGATGTATTGCTTATTTCTTCCATTGGATTTCAGTTTCCACAATTTTCTTTGATTAAATGGGCACCAAAGGTAGAAATAATATGTCGGCCCATTACTATTTCCGAATCTTGTTAGATTCGCTAAGTGAAAATCATTCATCCAGCGAATGTTTAAAAGTCCTCCTTTGGTACAGTTTCATAAACTAGACAGCAAAATGATTCTTTCAAGAACATTCTGACTAGATTGACAAGTACTAATATAAATGATAAACAAGTAATAGTAAGAAGAATGAAAGATGAGAGGAATTCAGTTTTATATAAGAATGGTTAAATCATGGGGCAAAATACTTCATACTGGTATTTAACATGCAGAACATCAATCTCTCAGACACACACTTTAATGATCATCACTAACACTGTGGCAGAGCTGCATGCATAAAGAAAGGGAAACGAGTGACGAGCCATTAGGAATGACTACTTAGTTATCTGACACTAAAATTAGGATAACCGGGGTTCAAAGGGGGTACTCAAATTCCTGTCTAAAGAGGGAAGATAATGTACAAATCAGGAATCATAAGACAACATAAGACAATCATAGAACATACTATGGCAGTACGAAGCTAGCCATACAATCCATTCTCAAACGAGCAAAAGCCTGTCTGTAAAAAATGTATTGAAATATTTTCCAACGTCAAGTCCTCATATTAATCCTGCTAACTCCTGACACTCTGAATAACTAAAATTTAGAGCACCAGAGAGCTGAAAGAACCAATGGCGCAATGACACCTTGAAATTGACAGAAATCGGTGGCCATAATGTAAACTTCATATAGCTATTGCGATGCTCCAAAATTTCTGCTCCTATTTTATTTTTTCAAAGAAAGACAAACTGACTTTCTGGTTTGGAATTTATACAAAATACTCTACCAAGAAAGAAGAAAAATCAAGAGTTTTCAAGAAATTACATGGACTGGTTTTTCAAAGAAAAAATAAAGTAAGACAGGAAGTCTGTAGCATCCCAAACAGAGGTACACGGTTTTGCACTTTGGCCATCGAAATGCAGACTGGAAAATCTAGTATTGCCTAATAGAATACATCTAATTTGCACAGTGCAAGACTAACCATGACCTATTTTTCGTGGTTAAATCACCCATGTTAGTTATGCTTAACGGTCATTATTTGCCAAATGATCCCGTGATGCAATTTACCAACTCGGATTTCTTCGAAGATTTTTTGGGCGAAAAGTGCTGTAAAGTTATGAACCTATGCAATTTCTAGGTCTTGGAACTCAAAACTCTCAAAGATAGAAATTATATATCTATCTTTTGTCTCAGATATGTTGTTTTTGCTTCCGATTCACTAAGTCATGTACCAAAAAAATACATATTTCTGCAAAAAATTCAATAATATTCTTCAAAATTTCAAAGTTTACTGATGAAGGTATCTGGTACAAAGAAAAAACGCTCCATGACCTTTGCTACTATCTGAGACTATCAAATTAGTCACGTTGTCAAAATTTTACTTTAAAATAAAATTTAGTGCTAAATGGTCTAGCTCAAAAAGCAGGGCAAAAACCGAACTTAACTACTTCTCATAGTATACTTTAAAAACTTGAAAAATTAAATTAATGGTTTATTGAGTGCTTCTACCTTCATTTCGTACTCATTTAAAAATAACGGCTGGTCTGAAACAATCAGACGCAACATTTTCATAACACATCATTTGAGTACAAAATGTTGACAGATTTTTAATTTTTATCCAAACAAAGGGCACTAGCTCTTGCGCACGAGTCTGAAGAATCGGTCTAAACAAAAAAACTGGCAAAATTTAGAGAAATGATAACAGAATTATTCTTGGAAAAATATCTTGCATTCCATGCAGTTTATCTTCAACAAATTTTAAACCAGTTACCTACACCAGTAAATTTTGAAATTTCGAAGAATATTAATACATCCTTTGCAGAAATATGTATTTTTTTGTATACAATTCAGTAAATCGGAGGCAAAAACAGAAAATATGAATATAATTTCTATCTTGGATAGTTTTGGATTTTCAGCCCTAAAAATTTGCATGGGTTCAAAATTTTACAGAACTTTTGATAAAAAAAATGCAAGGAAATCTGAATAGGTGGGTTGCATCACTGGATGACTTGGCAAATAATGACCCCGAAACTTCTCAATTTAAAATTGGATCTACTTTCAGATTATGTTATGTACCTAACCGATCTTACTTTAATTCTCTTTACAGAATTTCAAAGCCGAAATTAGATTGACTGATGTTGAATTAAAAAAAGGTATCACTACTTTAGACAGTGCTCAACATTATTAAGTTCGGGAAGACAATATATGTATAGCTACATTTTTGGAAAATTGCATGATATAAAGATTGAAATTTTTGGAGTAGGTGTGGGTTCTGAGCCCATACATCTGATACTTTTACATGGAAAATTTCCATAATATAGGTACTATCATTTGACCCTTGTGTCAAGTAAAGTTTTAGAACTCGGAAACACTAATCAGTAATTCTGCAAATGCGTTTTCACATTTAAATAAAGCAATCTGCCTTCATGCACTGACTGGTGACACTGGTTCTGTAGTTTTTGAGCTAGATACTTTCAAAGAAACTGTCACACTTTTTCACTACCATTCATTAATATTACTACTTGAGAATGCTGGGCTGGGAGATAAGTAGTTTTCTCTAAGAGTTACATTCATTGCAAGAGACTCATTGCAAGAGACATTGCAGAGACAAGAGAGAATTCACTTTATTGACTCATGGAAACAAGAAATAAACAATTTTTCTTAAGTGGAGCTGAAGGAAATTAAAAGTAATTAAGTTATTAATAACTATGCAATTAATTTAGGTTGAAAAAGATCTACCGGAACTCAAACTCTCATAACAAATCACATAGGAATTCTACCTGAATAAATTTCATCCAAAAATATGCTACAGTGAATAAATCCAACTTTACATGTTCGGTGAGGAATTAAATGATAATTCTAGAGAGAAATATAAACAAAATTTCTCTTAAATAAACGATAGAATCATTTCCGGGAAATCAGAAAAAGCCTACGGATCCCTTTAGAGTAGCTCTGCATTACGACTCACATTATTGACATTTATTTGTTGTGAGCTTAGGTTATAGCTTTGTAACAAAATAATTTGCTTCATGCAAGTCGTGAAAGATTCAAAGTTTGAAGGAATATTAACAGAACAAATTGAACAAAACAAGAGGAAAGGTTTATGTTTGAAGAAGTAAAATTACAAATATCACCATCCATAGGAAAAGGGACGTTAGGAATAATACCAGGGCAATAAATACCAAAGCAACTCAACCAGAATATTAGTGCCAATAAGCTAAAAATTAGGTATTAGCACCGTCTATACTGATAAAAAAAGTGTTTTACAAACATTCTGGCACCTAAAATGTCCGAAAATGTAACCAAAAATTTGACAGCTTGAAGTCCGCTCTTCAAAATTCAGTCAAATGGTGAATCAGAACTTTAAATGAAAGTACTGATTTGCCATTTCCACAGAATGGTGAATGACACAAATCGACAATGAAACTCCCAAACCACATATCTCATTGCAATGTTTAAAAATGTTTGCGCCTGTTTTATTTTTTTAAATGAGAACAAATCAACATCATTCCTCAAAGTTTTCACAGAATTTTATTCATATCGAGAAAAAAAGTCACGGTAGCTTTTAAGAACTGATTTTGAGGAGTTTACCATTTAAAAAATTACGTAAAACAGAAAGTCTGCAGCGTCGCAGACTGGAATAGAAGGTTTAAGAGTTTTACCATCGAAATATGATTCAAGTCCCTTGCAATTATTCATTGAGATGCGGAGAATGTTTTCCGTCGTAGCCCCAGATTCCGATAGTTTGACTGACTTGATAAAAATCACTCTACTGAAAAATTTGCTCTCCCCACGGTCACAAATAGATTTTTCAAAATGATGGTTGAAAAAAGAGGTTGTTCACAGGAGGAATGTAAATACAGAAGAGAATCTAATAATTTTTGCTCCAAAAAACAAAATAAGGTCCTCAGAGAAAGAATGCAAAAAAATTTTGCAAGGTATTCTAAAATATTATGTTCAATTCTCGATTGTTAAAAATTGATGCTTTAAGAGAAAGAAAATTTCTTGATACAGAGACAAAGTTCAATCAGTTTCAGCTAGTTCACACTGAACCCATTTCTGAGGGAGAAAATACTGGATTAAACCTTCTTGGAACAAATGCATCAAACTGTGCTAAGCTTGAACAAAGAACCTACAGAGAACCTTTAAAGAACCTACAAATGATGTTAGAAGTTAAGAATCACAAAGAGACACCACGAACCGGTAAGTGAGAAAGAGCCAATAACCTTGAAAATAATGTCTTGCAATCATAAATTATCAACAGATAGGATGACATCCCATAAATTTTAATGAAAAGGAGACATTAATATAAAAAGTTAACATTATTAAAAGATAACAAAATTGCTGGCATGGCACTGCACAATAAAAGATTCTGTAAGAACCTTATCATTTACAATGCGGCAAGAGCATTTTGCTCTTGATTATTTACACTGAAAGATGGGTAGATAGCTTTCGATCACGTCAGCTCATTCTGTTATTGCACAATACATTTAAAACAATTAGAATAAATTAACAAAAAAAGTTAATCGATAACTGCCGCATGGTAACGCACTTTGAGATTAACTTTATACAAGAATAAAAATAAGGTGGGAATTTTTTAAAAAAGTAAAAAAAGAAAAAAATGATTGTATGATGTAATGACTAATAACGTAATAAAAAATATCACATAACATACATCCTCTGAGGAGAGGTATTTACCCTAACACTTGATGTATGAGTGGAAAGTAAAGTGCACACAGAAATTGAAGATAACATCAAGAACAGTAGAGTACATTTTTTATTATGAGCAATTATGTATTTGATCAACAATAAAGGAAAAAGAAACGTTTTTGTTTAAAAAAGAAATCCTATTATTGGGATTTTACTCAGCAAGATGAAACCAGTAGCGGCTGATCATTATTGTCACTCGATATCGAAATATGACAATTTGTTCCTATCTTGTCTGCCCAATACTGTTCACTGTGATAGCAAAAATTGATGAAGGCCCATCCTCCTTCCAGTTAATTAGAGCTTGTCAAAGATTGGCTCTATTACCATTCGAATCCTAGTTTGATGGGATGGACCAATAATTGTTATCGGTCATTGTTAAGAACTTGAGTACTTTTTTTTGAAGGGACGCTCACCTGATTGAGATGTAAACATTTCACTTGGCAAAGAGCCCCGCCTCCGGTTGAGTAAATGCTCACGGGGCAAGAGTAAATCAGGTCCTCCCGAACTACGCCGCCGGAGTAGTTTTTTCTTTTTGCTTTTTTTAGAACCTTTTTCCCGGTGCCGCAGATCCTCACCGTTTGATGCATCTACAAAAAAAGTAAATGAAATGACAGAATGAAATAGATCAATTAAGAAATAACTTTGCAGAAAATAAAGAAAAAAGAAACGCAACAGTCCAGGGGGGGGGGGGGAAGACAGACCTTCCAGAGAGCCAGAAAATTTAAAATTGAGGTATTAATATCACAGTTTAGAGAAATTTATTACACAAATTTTGGCATAGAGTGTACCGTAAATGGTTGAACCAAACTGCAAATATAGCGCTTTGAAATTTTCAATCCAAAAGACATGTTTAAGTGTTCGCCTATTAGTGGCAAACAAGATGTTAGATAAGTACCAAAAATGTTCTAGGATAAATTATTGACTTATTCTCTGAACTAATTACGCACCAATAATGTGATAAGAGTAACAAATAATGACAGAGGAAAGTATACAGAGGCTCTCATGGTGTTGTTAGTGAGAAATATGTAGTAAACTACTGCAATTTGGAATTTTTGCAAAAAAAGACGTTAAAGGTAGTACATCTGACTAAAATGTTGTGAAATAATGCAAAGGTTAGATACTTGAGTGTGAGATAATCAAGATACCACCGCACTCAACGTTTTAATCCTTCAAGTTCGCACCTCAAAATTTTCAGATTCAAGGGAAACTTTATACCCTTGGTTGAAACAAAAATAAAGTCAACCCCTTATTCTTAGCTTATTCCCCCATCACTTATTCTTAGGAATAAAGGAGTGTGTTTCCCGTCAAATTCTGATTTCTTGGAGCCACATGATAAAAACTGCTCTTCTAAGAATTTGACCTATTTATTTAAAATACTCTTTACCTATAGATAATTACAAACGAATTGTTAATGAATTACATTTCTATCAACATCTTCAAGTAAGCGATGCGCACAGTACTTTTGTTTGTACCGGGCAGCAAAAACCTTAATCTGGCTTGACAATTGTATCTCATTCATCGGATGTGACATTTTCCCAATTCTATGATGTAATCCACATGGGCTCAATCATTAGTTCCTGGATTATCTTGAATTCATTTGAAAAACCAATAAATAACGAAAATGCAAAGATGAAATAAATTGGCGTGCGGCAAAATTACACAGATATTTGCGACATCAAACATTCGTGCAACACTGAAGATAAACAACTAAAAGAGCCGCCTTAAGTGACCTACATCAATTTCAAGTTACAGAAATGAAGTGCTTTCTTGAGAAATGTGTACACGAACTGATTGCAAAGGTTAGTGCATGGTACCTGAATTAAACCTTCAGGTATTGAACAGACCTCATTATTTTATTTTCTATTTGATGAAGATACTGCATGTTCGAACATACATGAAAAAGGATGGTAAAGTTCTTAATCAAATGACTTAGGAAGTCAAAAACATAAAGCTGAATTGCATCTGACTCATTTACTGTCTATCAAAATATACTCTGGGGATGACAGATTACTCTCCTGTTTTGGGTTGCCCCGTTGAGGAAATATGGAGTTGTGATGAATTCTGGTTAGTAGTATAAAAGTTGAATGATTGTGATCCTTTTGGTGATTTATACCTGTGAAGAGGGTGGCAGAATGATGAAGGTCAAATGGCAAGGATGAACGACGAGGCATGCCAGCGTTTTCTTTCAAGCCCAGCGGTTTCAAAACGCCTGCCAAATGCAAAGCATCAAGCGATTAATCCACGCAAGTTTCTCGGACATGTTAACTTACCAGATACATTTCTACAAAGTCAGGCAGACTACAAATATGCCTACAGGAAATAGAAAAACTAAAATTTTCTATGCTAATTGTAGCCTAATTTTTGCATTATTTAATTAAAATATTCTTTTCCTTTTTTCCCAAAGATTTCTAATTGAAAGAAAAGCCAACTTGCTTACCTTTCAAACAGACTTTGAACGATTTAATTGTAAAAAATAATAATGGAGGCAATTTAAAAAAAAATAATGATGATGGTAAAATGAATTGAAACTCTTAGTTCGAAAACGACCTAACTCTCTTTTTTTTAAAATGTTCATTTTTTTTGCGTAGAAACACTCCTTTTCTAGCTGTTATGCAGTTTTTCTCGTCTTCTGCAAAATTCAAATTTTCCGAGATGGGTCATTTTCCAACTAAGAAATTCAACTAAACAGTAAAGATACTGTACTGGTTGAGGAAAATGAGGTGAATGAGAAAAGATAAAGGAAAGATAAAAGAAAGTTTGAGGGGAAAAAAGCAGATTGAAATTTTATCAAGGAATCTGAATAATATTGGTTACTTTAGAAAAAAAAAAAAAAACTTAAAATAATTCGTTTAAGTTGGGGAATGTGATGTATCAGAGGGGGAAAAATTGGAAGTAAAAAGACTTCATGCAAACAACCAAAATAATGAGGTATAGATTTCCAATCTTAATTTTTGTTGACTTGGTCCCCATCCTTCTATGCTTTTTCATTTAGTGATAAAATCAACGGCTGATTAGACTGTTTGTCTTCCTCCTTTTACCATCTTATCAGAGCTATTTAGCTCTGACCGCTTGCATTAAGGGTTATTAATCTGTTTTAGATTTTTTTTTATTTTTTTTTAAAAGAAGAAAGAAATTGGAGACCTCATCCACACCCTGAAGAGCTGATTATTGGAATTCCATTATAATCAAAGCAATGGAGGTATTTTGAAAGGCTATAAGTGTCAAAAATTACAACAACATAATCCATGCAGGCAGCTTTGTAAGGCACATCAGTATAAGGTCTATTGCATGCACTAGTGCAAAAGAAGTATATCTTCAACGGAAAACCTATGTAAATAGATTGTTTTTGGATAAGTCTAAGGCACCTTTGGTGTGTCTTTTGACAGGTGAACTCCCTTTCTCTCTCTTAGACCAACGGTTTTTAAACATTGTTCTACTTCCGCTGTGGTTTCAGGTATCAGTGTTAGAGTTGACTAGCTTCGGTGCGACTCCACATAAAATTAGAATTTTGATGAGATTGCGGACACTTTACAACTCAACAGAATATTGGTGGTGCAAATCAAAAAGCACATACTTTCATTTTTGCCCATCAATTTTCCTTTGTCTTTCTCCTCAAAAAAAGAAAAAAAACATAAGAGATTTCAAAAAATCAGGATTGAGACACTTTGTATCGCACGACTGAATTTTACAAAGCAGGCCTTTGATCTCCAGCCATTGTATCAATGTAAAATTTTCCATGATTTTGAGAAATGAGGGTCAAGACATGTAAATTAAAGATAGTGCGCAATGACAATATGGACTACATTTTGCAATTCGGAACTACAATTTCTGGCTCAGTTTTGAAACAATGTGTGTACCATCAGTTTTCCTGTGTACATAGGTGTTTTTACGGATAAGCCAGAAATTTACTGTAGTTCCTACTTGCAATATGCATTAAATTTACCAAAATTAAGGCATTGAACTAACTAGACATTCAAAATAGACTTAGAAAAGGATACCTGTCAAAAGCGTTGGTTGCTCAGCGATTAATGTTCGCCACCAGATAGTTCAAACTCTCATTTTTTGCTTGATCTTAGGTGAGTTATAAAGATGGAAAAGGAAAAAAGGGATAGTAGAGCAGATTCAAAAGAAAATTTGGACCCTGAATACACACATACACACAACTTCATAAGGATAAAATGTTTTTGGTGTGGAGGTATTTTTAAGTTTATATTTCCTTTAAAAATATATTCTGTGAGCACAAGCGTACTATATGCACAATTATTTCTGTAGCCCTAAACATTAGATCGCCCAAGAGAAAAGACGATAAGTTGTTGATAAAATTTTGATAGATTGAGATAGCTTTAATGGCTGATGTAAATTTGTACCAAAATTAAAACATATGAATGTCCGGTTGAAAAATCTTGTGTTTACGGGTAAATCTATTTTCAAAGAAGATTTTAAAAAATACTGTTTGATGCAGCTGTGTACTCTAGGATGCTTGTTTTATTAGACTCCCTTTGCACATAAATGCGTTCAAGTTGATAGCATCAATTCTTAGGCACACGTTTCTAATCAAAATTCAAAACCACCATCATTTAGAAAATTTCGTTTATGAGAAAAAGATTATTGATCTATTTTACGATTGAAAAAGAATTGTCTTAAAATTTTTTGACCATTCTATGAAATTTTAATCACTGATACTCATTAAAAAAAGTTACCAGCACATAAATCAACAAATATGCACGATGGCTGATGAAATCTATAGACAAACTGCAGCAGTAGTTTACTGTGCTTTAAAACTAATGAGAAGCAGTGCTCTGATTTTTCACACTGATATTTACACTGACCTCTCCGAATACACAAAATAATTTTCTGAGAAGAAAAGACGGTAGGTAATTGAGAGTTTAAGTTACGCAAAAAAATACAAAGAGAGTAAATTATGGATGGAAAACATATGATTTGGGGGTCCCATCAAGCACTCTTTCAGAAATTTTGCAGAGCCCTCCAGGTCCTCTTTCAAACCTTTTGCTTTCTTCTATCAGGAGTAGCCACCGGACCTCTATATGGAGCCGGTCTCCTTCCGTTTTTGGAACGGCTCTCCATTTTTTATCAGTTTTCAGAGGGTTATAATATCCAGATGAGCCCCCTGTCTTCAAATTTACAGATTACCACCCCTTAAATAATGCGTACCTTTTTGTAATAAAATCACCTATCTCAATCCAGTGGGAGACTATTAAGGGCATTTTACTCAATTTGCTCAAAGCTTCCCGATGTTTTGTTTTTATGAGAGAGGATGAGGATTGAAAAATATGAAGGGCCGCAAATTTTGTGAAGACTTTATTTCAACTTGGTTTGATAAAATCACTTGTAAATCTTACCAAGTCCACAAAGATCAGTAAAACAAAAATGATGACTTCGTCGTGACTCGGTATTTTTTAAAATTTCTAGCTCAGCTATATATCAGTGCCCATGCCTTAAAACAAACTTTGTCAGCTACTAAAACAGAGGAAGTCAAGGACATAACATGCTATTTTCTTTTTTGTTTTTTCAAATCTGTTTTTTCTTTTGTTTTTCAAATACATAAATTCCTGTCCAGTTAGCTCATTTTTGAGGTTACAGCATTAGATATGTAACTTTTCATCTGTTTGAGATTTCGACACAGTCACTCAAATTTCAAAATAATAAGGTTGGAAAGTTTTTTTTTACAGCTGTAAGGTCTGAATTCTCATAGGGTTAGATTTGGTTTTCGACTAGATCATTAAACTTACCTAATCAGAATTCATTAAAAAACAAGGAAAAATAGAGACAGTTATCACTTGAGGAAAAGGTTTAAGGGACTTGGGAGTCTTCAGTGACGCATACTTGCATCAAATTAAGTTCCCTACTTGTCATTTGAGCCACACAAACTAATGGTTTTTCCTTTTTTTTTTGGTCTAAGTTGACTCTAAAGTTGAAATACAACACCATATCTTTGATTAATGACTGGACATTCTACTCAAAATCTGTTACTGATATTTTTACACTACTCACAAGATCCTTGAGGGACTACTCTCAGAACTGCTGTGGCTATTGTGCCCCTGATTAATTTTACCGGCTTTAGGGACTCAAATAATTTGAGCAGTTTTATCATTTCTTGTGGCTAGAGAATACTTTTAACATATTTCCACCCTTTAAGCAATTTTGTAAGCACATCTATTTTGAGTGGAACTTACTTTGTCACAGCTGGCATGAGTCTAACTACTCTGGTAAAAGATTAAAATACAAAACCTAAGGACAACTAGGAATTATTATCACCTTCCGGCCAAAGTATCACTAGAGCCACTTAGCCACCTTTTCAGGAGACACGAAAAACTGATTTGCAACCGCATAAGACGGAGTTCTGGTTTGAAACTTGGAATACTGATCTAGCACAGTTCCTGTCTTGAAATTTAATAACATTCCTTTAAAACCTGCCTTGAAATTTAACAAAAGTTCTTTAGAAAAACATTTTTTTCTTTGAAAATTGGCACTTGTGATACCGCGTTCTTGTAGCATTCTGCGAACCCCTGGCGTTTGTGATCCGGAAGCTCAGCGAATTTAACAGAGTGTTTTCCATATTTATTTATTTTTAATCTGAAAAATTCTTATTTTTACATGTAAATTCATCTTATTAATTAAAAACCATCCATAACTCAATTTTGATAAAAATAGCACTTGTGATACTCCAACCGGAAAGTGTCAAATTGCTCAAATTCCTCTAGGTCAATCCAAGTGTTGTTGATACTGAAATTGTAAAAACAATCCCAAAGATGAGCGATTACCCAACTTGGCGCTCGTAATACTATGCTCTTATATGGCTCTTGTAATACAAAAGTTCATCAACTTCAACAGGGTTTTTCCCAAATTTATTTATTTTGACTCTAAAAGAAAATATTATTTTCAAAATAACAGGATACATTTACGGACGAAAATAATTCAGCTTCAAGTCATTCCGCAGGTTGTTGTAACAAAAATTGTAAACAATCAGAAAGGTGGGTGGTTGCCGAACTTGCCACGTATGATACATCTCTCCCAAATGGCGCTTGTGATAAGAAAATACATCAACTTTAATCGATTTTTATTCGTATTTCTACATTTTTGTTCTAAAAGATATTACTTTCACATGTAAATGCATCTCATTATTTTGAAACCATTCATAACTCAATTTCGGTAATTATGGCCCTTGTGATACTTTAGCTGGAACAAGACGATATTATCTCTACCTAAAGCTACAAGATGAGCTTTGCCAGACATCTGAAAATGCTTATAAGAGGTGAGATTCGTCACATATTGTTTGAACCATATCGCATCAGTGCTAAGAAAAATAACTATCTCACCTTCATTGACAAAGAAATCAACCACATCATACAAATTAAAAATATGGCATTGATTTAGGTTTAATAAGATTCAAGTCACTCATATTTCTCATTTATGAAAGGTTGATAGAAAAACCGTGCTAAATTCAAAACTTGACCTGGCAATTTAAGAAAAGCTTCGCGTTTGAAAAAGCTGCCACAATAAACCACAGAAGAGAGAGAAGAACAGAAGAGATAGAGAGGGTAGCATGTCAAAAATGAAGGATAGTTTTGAGGTCTACAATTAGTACTAAGGTTTAACAAATCCAAGACTCGAGAAAAACAGAATGTGAATGATACAACTACAGAATCTTCAAAAAGTGCAGAATAACACTGACGGTTACGATACTGAAGAGAGGTCTATTAATGCAGAATATACAGACAGTAAAGAAGTAACTTCCAATTCTTCTGACCAGGGATAGGGGGTACTTTTCATGCCAATGTTCCAAAACATTCATTAATTAACCTTGAAGAAGAACATTCAGCACTGGCAACTCGTAGAACTGGAATAAGGAATTGATGCCTTCAATCAAATAAATGTTTTTTATAGGCGCATAAATTCACATGAATGTTTCAAAATTGCCGCGGACATTTTACGAAAAATTTCCCTGGAAAATTTGCTGATTTTCTGTGGTGACGAGAAAAATACCTACATTCCATTTCTGTTAGGAAAATTTGCTCAATTGGTCATCATACAAACATATAAATTGTTCTTGGAAATTCTGAAAAATTGCAATGGACCTGCACTTTCATGTAGAAAAAAATTGATTCCATCGATAAATTTAAATTGATGTAGGACCGAAATCTACTTCCCTGCGTCCCTCTAAGTAGGAGCTCCTGCAGTTATTTTAGGCAGGTTACTTTTGCGTTGACCCCCTATCCCTGGTGCAGAATCAAAGTGTTAGGGCAAACAAAAAGGAACACGATTTCAGACAAAAAGAATTTCTAAGTGTCTCAGAGACGGAAATTAAGATGTTAATACAGGGCAGACGTTTTCATTGGTCATTTTATACAAACATGAAAGAGAACATCGCATACTTTGTCTGCTGTCTGATGTTGGCATTGATCCCCTTCGAGCCAGTCTTTCTATTAATTCAGCGCTAAGTTGACCTACAGGAGCAGAGCCTCGCCTCCGTGTATTCTGTGGAAATGATTAATTTGGTAAATTAAGGAAATAAAATAAAAGATATTTAAAAATGATTTGCTGACGAGATACAAGATAAGTATACTAAAAAAGAAACAATGAGGAAAGAAAGTGAAATTAGGTTTCAGGAGGTTCACTTCAAAATAATTTGCAAGCAGGTTCCAGAAAAACATGAAATATTATTTTGTCTCTCCACTTTTGGTGTTCACTTAGGACGTACCTTCAGGCTTCATTAAAAGTATGTCTTGATCAAATTTTACACATGAATTCCTAAAACACTACAGGGTCATGTGACTTATGATTATTTTTTAGAAAATGTCTTAAAATTTTAAAAAATCAGTTCAATGATTGACTATTCAGTCGATTTCTGAAAATTTTAAAGAACCATGTTGACCATCTAAATATTTTTACCAGGATGAGCAAAAGAAATGCTCGACATGTATGTCACAAGAGGGGAATCCCCTTTTGTAAATGTTGATATCTTTGGGAGGGTGCCTCCTGGGAAGTCTTGACTCCTCCCCCCCCAAGCTTTACCCCTCAGTGATCAGAACAACAGTCAAAACCGAAACATATTAACTCAAAAGTTGAAAAAGTTATGGCATATTGAGCGTTTCTTACGCCTATCCCAGTATTTTTAAAATCATATTTTAAAAGAGGAAGCACTTTCAATGCTTATGGCTATTTGAAGATCTAAATTACATGATGCTGGCCAAGGTTCCATGCGGAATAATGAGACGACTATGTTACGCATATTTTTTGAACCACAAAGTTTAAAATACCCAAAATTAGCCAGGGTAATTTTAATAAAACTGTAACTTCTCCTATTTCTAATAATGATTTTTGATCAACATAACTCTGCTACTGAGTGTGATCACCAGAAATAAAAAATCCAAATCAAATGATAAAATCCTGACTAATTTTGAGAAAACGCCAAAGTATTTGCGTAATCTATCATTGAACAGCATTTCGACGGTGTAAGTCGGAAATCACATGACTCGTTTGCGGTGTCTGAAAATCTCCGCCTCCATGTTATTTTTTTAAAGGAGAACAAATTGACATCATTTCTTGAAGTTTTTGTAGAATTTCTTCGCACAGAGAAGGAAAATCACGGCAGTTTTAAAGAATAGCCGTTGAGAAGTTTTCCGTTTAAAAAATAAAGTATGACAGGAAGTCTGCGACGTCGCAAACCGAGTTATGTGATTGCCAACTTACACTGTCGATTTGTACTATAAGTGATGAAGGAAGAAAGTACAAAGATGATATAAAAGGATCACCTGAGGTATTGCTAATCTTCTGACATCCAAAGAGTCTTTCCTAGGGTTCACGTTCTCCTTTTCGCAGATTTTTGCAAACTTTGTTATCTTTTCACGATCACTATCGTCTGTGGAGTCACGCTTTAACCCGGCACAGTCGCTGTCGCTACCGCCGGTCCGACTGGAAGAGGAGGAGGAAATACTAGTAGAATGAGCAATGGGTTCACCGGACGTTGACATGTATCTTGTCCTAACGTACGGCTGGAGTGGAGGGAACGTTTGTTGCCTCTGCAAAGATCGACTTGACGGAGGTGGAGCCAGGGACACATTACCATGGAGCACCGACGAAAGACGGCTCGCTTCATCGTGCGTCGTTATCGAGGCTATACTAAGCTCTGGAAGGAGGTTCTCTGCGCTCACGGGCCTTTCATCGTTGCTCCCACAGTCTGAAGAGCGCTGGAAACTTTGATTGCTACACGATGACATCTGCGATAGCTGCAGCTCTTCTTCCTCCTCTTTCAAGTTCGAAATTTGCCCTATTGTGAATCTTCGAGATCTTTCATCCCGTAGACGTAGGTTATCCCCGGTGGTTAGAGTGTTGCCCCAAACTGGAGGTGGAGCGTTAGGATGAGACAGACTCAGCGGGACCGAGTGTCTTCTTCCTAAACGATCTACCGTTTCGAGGACGACTGTAGGTAGAGATGATCTTCGAGATTCATCGTCCGAGCCCCTTGCATCACTGATCTCGTCGCATATCTCCTCTGCTTCAGAGATTTCAGTCCGGGTCTCTTCCGCTAATTCTTGCTGCAGAGCAGTCTCCCACCGAGTTTGGTTGTCTCTTAAGTTTTTAATCATTTTATTTGATAATGTTGTACACAAAAATCTATCCCATTCTTCTAAAAGCGGAGCTACCACAAATCGGAAAAAACCTGAAAATCAAACAGATGTTCAAAATTACAAGAAAAGTGGTGAAAAAAGTGAATTTTATGTTAGCTCTAAATTTTTCAGTTCAAGGTTAAATATGAAGCTACTACGGAGACTTGGATTGAATTTAGCACCACAAGGAACCAGCACAATTTCAGCGTTATAAAACTGTTGCTTCTTCATAATTATCTAAAAAATCTCCCAGAGTAGCGAATAGTTTTGGCTTCCCACCAAAAACTTGTTAAATTTAAGGAAAATAGTTATGTAAATTTTAATACTGTATATATATCAGGTATTTTAAAAGGAAAGGTAAAGCTGCACGATTTTGAAAATACTGTGATTGCGCTGGTTCCATTTTGCTAAAAGCAATCCACTTAAGACTATTGACTAGTCACAGAACTCGAACCAGCTGTGAGTTAGAAATGATTACTTGAAAACTCCAGAACACTCATGCATAAAAAATAGCATTCAAACAAAATTTTCATGAGTGTTAAAATAACTTTGACGTTTACAGGAGATATTAGTTGATGAAGATGTTCCATTAAATATACATACCTCCTCTTTTTGCTTTATGCAAAATAAATAATACTCAAGAATCTAAAAATGAATTTTTGAGGAGATGTTGAGAAAAAATGCAGAAAGTAGGTTGAAAATAAGTAGGTACCGGCTTGTATTTTTGGAATAGAGGTAGAGTGTCTATCACAGAGAGAGGTGACTGGGAGGTTGAGCTGTCTTTCGTAGTCCCCTTGGCGAAAGAATTCTTCACAAACTTTCTGACTCCACTTGTAACTAATATCCCACGGACGGCATGGGTTTGATATGTCGGCACACTTTAGAGCTATTTGAAGGATAAAGTGTCTATTCTCGTGATCCTTCATGTCTAATGAGTTTTTATCTAACGAATCCTGATAAAAATAAACACAAAATAAATGTGAGCGGCCAAGGATATGAACTGACGCTAAAGTTTAAAGCATCTCCTATCACTTGTCCTTTAAAATTTCACAAGAGTAACAATTCATAAAAACTACAAATTTCCGAAATAATCTCCTACGGAAGATGTACAACGTAGTACACTGTAATGCCACACTAGGTCTGCTCTTTTCCAAAACTGTCAGCTTGCTGTGCTGAGGAAAACCGCTATATAAGTCTTCAGACATTGCTACATTTCTTTCAATAAAAAACGATTATTCTGGAAAAATTGAGAATATTTTCCTTCATTATCTGACAATTTTCTTTCCAATAAAATCTAAAATATCAAAGAATTTCAATGGAAAATACGCATAACTTTCCTCAACTATACTTGGGTTTATCGGAGAAAATTTGGCAACATTTGAAAATTCAAACATCATTTTTTCTAAGCACGGCAGTAGAGTAGGTAATAGTAGTCCAATTTAAGTCCAATTTACAATGGTTAGTGGGAACAACAGATGGTATCTTCTGATGTTTTAAGATCTACATTTTAGACTTCCTCTATTTTTTGCCAGTTTTTCCATCATTCATTCAATGTTCTCATCAAAAGAATGTTATCAGTAAACTTTCCTTTCAAAATTTTTTTAGCAGGGCCTAAAAAATTACAAATTGTGCATGAGTGACTACAAGTGTAACTAGGATCTGCTAAAAAATTACCCGTTGAGTAAAACTAGTGGGAATGACAAAAGGAAAATGGTACCTTAAAGCGTGTGAGAAATTCTTGTTGACGGGTGATATCAGTGGCAAGGATAAGTGAACTAATTTGCTCATCCAAGAGCTTTCTGGAGTCTTTGGACAATTGATCCGCTACACTACTTTCTAATAAACAGCCTATGGCTGACCTCCAGTGATGGTTTTCTAATACTGATGTGTTCTGAAATCAAGAATCAAGACATGACATTGAAATGATAGAAATTGAAAACCCTGCCAGAGGAGAGATGCATTGCAAGGAATGCCTGTTGTTTCAACTATCAATCTTTTGATTCTGAATTGCCTAAAGAGCATAACTACCAAATTTTTCAAAAATTTGCACATGGAAATAAATAAACATCTTTGACAAGGCCAAAAGACCTCTGGGCATACTGTGTGGAGCGAGAGGGAACTGTTTCAGTTTCCAACAAAAGTAGTGGGCCAGGATTGCTTGCACCCAGAGAAATAAATATTCTGTGCAATCAATTGGTCGATTTAAAAACACTAAGCTCACTGGAAAAAGACAAAGTTCTGCAAAAATTACTAATTAAAATTTAATTACTTTGGGAGAAACAAGGAGAGAAAATTAAAATTGAACCGGAATCGGTGTATCAGGGTTAGAGGCCAAAAAGAAGAAATGAAGACAGATTTGCTTGAAATTTTAGGAAAATTGGTTTTCTTTGAGGCCAGTGATTAATTCTTTAAAAAAAACTTCAGCTTGATGTAATGCTGAAGAATGCCACTGTAGGCAAGGAATTTCTCAGATTTGTTTTTATTTTTATTGATATTGAAGTGATAAAATAAACTGTCACTTGGATGCAACGTGTAACGTTGTCAAAAAAAATCTTATCACTGGCAGATAATCCTTCAACCTAATTTTTCAATGCTGATGAAAACTAACCTCATAGAGAGCAGCTAGATGATTTGACGTTGCGATTAAAAAAGGTTGATTTACACCGGGATGATCAAGATCATGGGCTACAGCAGCTATGAGAGCTGCCATTACTTCTAGTGGCGTCAAATGTTCTCTGATCTGAAATTAAAGAAGAATATTTTGTGAGGTACAAACACACAACATTCATTAGAAAAAAGAGTGATTTATCACACATGACAGCAAAAGGGCTTTGCTGAGATTTTGCACTTGAGGACAAAGATACCTGCTGTGATATTGTCTCCAAATGATATGCACTCCCTAGAAAAAAGGAATTTAAAATTCGAATAGATTTACAAAAATTATAGTGTCTCTCTTCAAAGAGACACATTCTCCACTATCAAGAGGAGGGGTGTATGTGGAGGGATACAAAATCCTATTTAAGCATTGGATTTGTAACCTAATGTGTGATAAGGGCCTTTCAGCTCTTACTCAGACAACTTATTACCCCAGAAGCTGCATTGAGAGATTTATTTGTTCCAAGAGAGTTGACTTTAGGAAGAATAGTCATTAGGGGATTTCACCATAAGAAATTACAGATAGATCATGGAGAAAAATAGAGCCATTTATGAAAAATTCACATTTTTCTTTGCTTTCAAAATATGTCATACACTATTTCAAAACTTCATATGAGGTTTTTATACCAATGTTATACTGCAAAATTGCAAGAGCTAAAGGTAAGAAGCATATGATCGTACATGTTAGGATTAGGTGGTTTGAAGGGCTTGGAGGACAAAGCGCATAAGTGTAGTTCTTGCTGTTGGAATATCACCGTATCAGCATTATCAACAAGTGAATCGGTCTCACTCTCATTAACCTTAATTACTTGATCGACAAGATAACAGAAAACTCTCTATTGAACCACTTGTTATAATTCCTGTGTGGATGAAAGTTGATTAAATGAGTCACTATGAAAATAAAGTTGTTTTTAATAAGAACCAAGATCCTCAAAATCTTAACATGGTAGCAGAGCGTGGTTGTCTCGTTATGTGGTTCTTATAGTTTGTGCGTGCCTTTGTGGACTTGTAATATTTGGCCTGTGTGGCAAAGTAACAATTGACAACTTTTTGAATGTGAATTTCGGACCTTTGTGGCAGATTTCAAACTTTTAAATCATACCTCCGTGGTGTGAATTCCGGACCTTTGTGGCAGATTTCAAACTTTTAAAATCATACCTCCGTGGTGTTAATTTCGGACCTTAGTGGCGAACTTTGTTTTTATATTTCGGATCTTGTCAATATCCGGGCCTAATTTGCAAACTCTTATTTTGCTTTAATTTCGTATTTTTCAACCTTCGTGGTAATTTAACCTTCGTGGTATTCTACTTCGTGAACTTAATTTTTTTTTTGAACTTTAGTGAACTTATATTCATTTAACCTTCGTGGTATTTTATTTCACTTGTATTTGACCTGTGTGACAGAGTGACAACTTTAATATCTTGAACTTTCGGAATCTTGAACTTTTGGAACAACAACATTAGTGGTATCTTCGTGGACCTCTATTTGACCTGTGTGGCAAAGTCTCTTTCGGATCTCTATTTGACCTGTGTGGCAGAGTGACAACTTTAATATCTTGAACTTTCGGAATCTTGAACTTTTGGAACAACAACCTTAGTGGATACCACAATTGCTGCCGACCTAAAAGAGACCAACAAAAAGCGGAAAAAGCTGATGGAAGACAAAAAGAAGGAAGAGAATAAACTGGCTGAGTTAAAGGCGTTGCCAGAAAAAAATGCAAAAGAAATTGCAGAATTGCAAGCTCTAGCAACACGCTTGGAAGCTGACCGAGTGAAAGAAGAGGCACAGAGGGACAAAATCTTGGCCTCTTTACGAACTGACACAAAGAGCCTTCAGGATGATAAAGATAAGCTCCAAGCCAAGCAAATTGATTTGGAGAAGACGGCTGATGATGCCAAAGCAAAGTGTGATTTAGCACAGTCAGAGTATGACATTTATTTAAGTACAGAAAGGAAGGAAAAAGCTAAGATGGAGCAGTTGACTGCCAGTTTGGAGACAACAGAGGCATCTTTGAAAGAAAAACAAAGGCAAATCAATGAGATTAAAGGAACTTTGCCCAAAGACGAGGAGACTCTGAAAACAGCTGAGTCTCAGCTTTCAGAGTTACGGCCACAAGAAACAAGTGTCCAAGCAGAGTTGAGAACCAAAAGGAATGAAGTTGATGAAAAACGTTCAACGATGCAAGCAAACAGATCTCGCAACCGAGTCCTTGATTTTATTCTCCAGTTGAAAGCAGAAGGTCGTGTCTCAGGAATTTTCGGCCGATTGGGTGATCTAGGTGCGATTGATGAAAAATATGATGTTGCGGTTTCGAAGGCCTGTGGAGCTCTGGACAATATTATTGTTGATACAATCGAAAATGTCAATCACTGTATCCAAGCACTGAAGCAGCAAAATGTAGGGCGAGCTACTTTCATTGCCTTGGAAAAAATGGAACATCTTCGTCCAAAAACCAAACAAAAAATCAAAACTCCTGAAAATGTGCCAAGACTCTTTGATCTCATGAAAATTCCTGATGAACGAATGAAAACTGCTTTTTACTTTGGAGTTGGAGAAACACTGGTCGCAAATAATCTAGATCAAGCTTCAAGGATTGCATACGAAAGTGGTGTAAGGCACCGAGTTGTCACACTCAAAGGAGAAATTATTGAACCTACAGGTACCATGTCTGGAGGAGGCAACTATGTGATGAAAGGTCGTATGGGAAGTTCAGTTAAAGACCTGGAAGTAAGTTCACCCGGAGAAATGAAGAAACTGGAGTCAGTTGTTGAGAAACTGGAACAAAAGTTCCAGACCATACGACAGCAATTGCATGCCTTGGAGGAAACGCAGTCATACTTGTCCCCAAGAATCAAAGCCAATAAAACAAATCTCAACAAATACAATATGGAGTACGAGATGCTGTCCAAACAAATTCCCCTGCTTAAAGAACAAATCAGCAAACAGAAAGATGTTACAGAAGAAGTAAAAGCAGATCCAAAACAAGTGAAGCAGTTGGAGTTTGTCGTTCAGAAAGCAAAAAAAGAATTTGAAAAAGCGAATGAAGCTGCCAAAGAAATTGAAAACGAGGTGAAAGAAGTACACTCAAAAATCATGGAGCTAACTGAAGGCAAGATGAAAACTGCAAACAAAAAACTAGATGAAGTAGTGAAGAAATTAGACAAAACGAATTCACATGTCAACCAGCTAAGTGTTGGAATCAAAACTGCTGAAAGGAATGCGAAGAAAGCTGAAGACCGTATTGACAATTTAACTCATGAGATCGAAGAAGCGCAAAATGCCATGTTGAAAATGAGTGAAGAGAAAAAGAAAATGGAAGCAGAAGTAACACAACTATTAGAAGAAACTGAAGCCATATCGAGGAATATTGTGGAGAAGGAAGACGAAGTCAAAGAGGCACAGAAAGGCCTTGCTAGTGTATCCAAAAATTCGAATGAGCTCAAAGCAGCCAAACTCAAAGAAGATCAGAAGGTTGAAACTGTCAATGCAAAAATCAAAGCTGTCAGAGACAAGATTCCTCACTTGCAAAACAATTTGAAAAATTGTCACTACACGAATTTCCAGAAATTCAGCCTGTGTGGCATTTAAAAATTCAAAATCAAGGAGGCGATAATCATATCAGACCCAAAAGTGTATTTATTATTAGAATCATATCAGACCCAAAAAGTCACCTAAAATAATTTTTAGAGATGATTTTGAATTTTATTCTGCAAGTGTAAATAATTATGAAGTTCCAGAATCATTTGAAGAAGCTATTAAGTGTAAAGATAAGAAATTATGGATAGATGCTATGAATGAAGAGTTTGAAAGTATGAAAGAAAACGGTGATTGGGACTTAGTGGATCCTCCAGAATTCACTAAAGATACTAAATGGGTAAAAGATACTAAATGGGTATACAGAATCAAATCAGATGGAAAATATCGTGCTCGCTAGTAGCTAGGGGTTTTCAAAAAGTGTGTAAGTAAGCAATTTATGGATTACGAGAAAGTTTGCGTTGGTAATGAAACCTTATTTTTATTTGTTCATGATATGGCAATAGTTTTGAATTTCCAGGTAAATGGAAGAATATTTAAAAGTGAATTGAAGAATGTTTTCTATGTGCCTGAGCTAAAGAAAAACTTACTTAGTGAAACAAAATTTTTTTTTAGATGATCAGTATGAATTTATAATTCAAAATCAAAGTGCAATGATGCAAAATAATCATGGCGAATTCGTAGGTAAAAAATTTATTTGTTTTAAACGCTAAATTCAGTAGAAAAGTGGCATAGAAAACTAGGACATATAAATTTCCGTGATTTACATGTGTTAAGATTCAAAAATTTGCTTTTAAATTTGCCAATTCCTTTGTTAAACACACTGATGTAAATGGGCCCAGTAATCCTGTGGGATCAAGAATTTACAAGTCTCATGGAAATTCAATCAGGCATAAACTTGCAAAACTGAAATGTGATAATGGCACAGAGTAAAATAATTTTTTGGTAAACTGGTAAAGAAATTTTTTATTCGTATATTGCTGTATCATTATCTCTTAGTGATATTCTCTTTTTTAAGTAAATTTGTAAAGGTGCTTCACAAATTTAAGGAGGCGTGTTGGAATATCACCGTATCAGCATTATCAACAAGTGAATCGGTCTCACTCTCATTAACCTTAATTACTTGATCGACAAGATAACAGAAAACTCTCTATTGAACCACTTGTTGTAATTCCTGTGTGGATGAAAGTTGATTAAATGAGTCACTATGAAAATAAAGTTGTTTTTAATAAGAACCAAGATCCTCAAAATCTTAACACTTGCTATTTCCAGAAATACATGTTTGAAGTTTCGAAATTACATACATAGATCCTCATTACATGGCGAAAAGAAAGTTCAAACTGACTTTTTCATGCTGAAAAATTGGAATTTGGGAGCGAATTTTTCACAGAATATGCATTAAGACTAGTTTTACTTGAAATTATTAATATCTCAATTTTTTTTCAAATCTGTACTTATGTGCCTTGTCCTCCAAGCCCCTCATTTGTGCAAAGAGGCATGCATGTGCACTCCTCTCATTTCCTTGGAGGGAGGGAGGGGACAGCAAAATTTGCTGCCTGAATGTGTGACAGCTTGTCCCTGCACCAGCCCTGATTAAAGTTTGTTCATAATAGGGAATTATTAGAGAGACAGAGGTCAACTGGCAACTTCTGCAAAAATTTACACATGAACTTGATGTGATACAAATGTATACACACTCAGATAATTAGGGTAGTAAAATGCAGGCTATAAGTTTTTACATTGAAAGTCAACAGGATACAATTACTCACCTTTTCTTCCTGTAGGAAACAGTGCATGGCCTGAGTGACATCAGTTGCATGAATTGAATTGTGATAAGGGTTTGTACTATGATAACCTTCCTCAATTAAACCTGCGAATTGAAAAAATAAAATGAGTGACAAAATGAAAACCAAAGAACTGTGATACAAGGTCATGGAGGCAAAAGTTTTATAACTGTTGAATAACTTTGAGGTCTAGAGGAAGAAAATATTAAGAGACGTTCAAAAAACCACTTTAAGGGGAAGTTGATTTTGGAAAAAATAAAAATAATAATAAAAAAGAAATTGGGGTTGAGGAATCTTCTGGAGCCTCCTGGTCTGAAAAATGTTTGAACTGGTGAGAAAAGAATAAAAATTACATTAAATTTTTCACGTAGTAGAAACGTTCACTGCAGAACAACCTAGCACAATAAATCAAAGCACACGCCCCACATTTGACGAGGATTTCTTTTCAGTAGGTTTTTAAAATTTGAAGAGCAAGGTACGTTGCAAGAAGCAAGAAGTTACGTCAAAATTAAAGATTTTTTTTTTTAAAAAAATGGTGAAATTTATTTTGTTTTTCAAGGCTAAATGTAGTAAAATGAGACTTACTAAATAATTTCCAGACTTCTACAACATCTAAATTAAAATGGTCCAACAGCCCATACCAGTGGAACAAATGAACACATAAAACAGGTAGAGATCGACCTAAAACAAAACAAAAATGAATGAAAATAAATAGAATTGAAATTTATGAATAAATAAAGTTTGATTCAAAACTTCTTTTGCACCGTGCACATTTGTACAATGTGCAACGTGTAAGTCGTGTTTAAAACTGGTCACCGTCAACTGATGCGGTGCAACGATCGAAAAGTATAGAAAACTTTAATGATTGACTAGATTCTCATGAAGTTTAAATGGAATTAATATCCATTTGGAGTGAATAAAATTTGTATGCAATTTAACCAATTTGTTTTCATCCTAGCTCCTGACCTATCAGCTTAGAATCTACTTAAAACGTCAGATACGTCCTCTTCAAAAAAAGGAGTTAACTAGTTCCCTACGAAAAACGAAAATAAAGTTAACTTGCTTCAAAACTTCCTTATTTGAGGCAAAAACATATATTGGTTGATACCTAAGAGAAAAGGAAAAAAATAGAAAGAAAAAGACCCTCACTATCGAAGATTTGCAAGACAATATTGAACAAATGGTGGTAAAAAAAATGAGAAAGAAAGGAAAGAAGCATGGTATAAGCTCAAAACACATTTGAAAATCAGGTGTAGGTTAATGGATTCCGACGCACTTAACCAGGTTTTCTTAACATGAAAAACTTGTAGAAACTTGTAAACATTTCTAAATTTCAATGGGTCAGAGGGTAGGTACAGTAAAAAATTTGTGCTGCACTTTGCATACATATACTCTTTTACGAGTTCCTCAAGGGTTTTACACATTTTAAAAACTTGTGAAAAAACAGTCAAGGTATCGGGTGGTTGGGAAGATTTCTATTACAAGTTTTACCCATATGCTACTGGCATGCATTCCTAATTTTCGTCCGTTTACTAAAATTTTTCATGTGAAAAAAGGGCATGTAAAGTGCGAGAATCTAAAAACCGACACATGTTTAATTATAAGTTTTTCCGCCTCTTTTTGTACTTTGTCTTCTTTTCTTCACAAATTATTTCCAAAACTTCTTAAAGGCCTCTACAGCTACAGCGGTAATTGATCGGATGATTGATCCGAGATGATTTCCAGCGTGAGGCTCATGCAGTTTATTGAGCCGGAAAAAGAGCCATATTGAATGATTTCATTCACAGCCGCAAATTGACTTGTACATTATCAGCACACGCGCTAGTGAAAACTGATAGGGTACTTTAAGAGTTTCCATACTTTTAAATCATGTATTAAAATCATTTCATTCAAAGTCTGATTGTGACACTTATCTAAGGTAGAAAAGGAGGATAACTCACCGCCCGTAACATTATCTAACGTGAAAGCGTTGAAAGGCCACTGCCAAACTTTGTCCAAGACGCACTGAAATCAGAAAAAAAAGGAAACCATGATAGAGGAGGTTGTTATCACACTAAGTAGGCACAAAACTATCCTTGGAGATGTACAAGGCCGATTTTTGCGCGGTGAAGTTAGGAAGTATAGCGGTTAGAATAGCATAATTAACCGTATCTTCCTCCACTCCCCTACTTTGTTCTCCAATGTTTCAAAACTTAATTTTGAAATTTCAATACGTCGCAGGCAACTAGGGGTTACTAATTATCCCTAAATATCCTGTATCACCATCATTTAGGGCTGCACGAGTGAAATGAAAAATATTATGCAAGTCAAAATAGTTGTATCCCGCGTTTTGCCCCATACACCTTTTTCTACTCTAGCGTTGAAGTCTCTGAGTCAGCCGAAAAGAGATTCTCCTTCGTTTTGTCACATGCAATTTTTCCTTCTTGGTCGTCGAAAAAGATGCATCATGCGGTTCGCCCCATCCCACTTTTCTATTCTGCGTTTAAATCTCTGAGTCAGCGGAAAAGAGACGAAGCTCTTTTTCATTGTTGGGGATATGCGAGAGAGTTTTGTTGCTTTATAATTGGACGTATTTGCGCTTAAAAGAACGATGTGGATATGGTTTCTGTGCTACGTAGTTCATAAAATCATAAGTATGTTCAATTGTGATCGGATCTGTGTAAGGGACCTCATCTTCCAGCGGAAAATTTCAGAAACTTTGTGCTTTGCGCGGAAAACGATCCCGGGAAGCGCCTGCAAGACTATAGGAATACTTCAAGCATTGCGTCGTATGTATCCTCGGTCTAGTCTCGCTCTTGACTCGCGAATCGCGCCTTCCTAGATGTTTACGCTGCTACTTGGAAATACAAATGGAGAATTTGTATGCCAATTTTTTATTGCTTCATCTGAAAGTGCTTAAAGAGCTGATTTCACAGTTTTTTTTTATATTTTTTTTCTGATATGGGAAATAGTAGAAAAATAGATTTAAAAGTGAGAAAATGCACCGCCTAGTGAAGTCATCTGACGGCATTTCCCATTTAAACACATTTATTTTAGCAGATTAGATAATTTTGTCATATCTTCTCCAATAATTGTTCAATTCATGAACCAAGGGTATCCTCGTGTTCGGTTCACTCAGTAGTTTTCACTTAAACACGAAATTCATCAAATTTGAAACACCTGCAAATTCTCTATCGTTACAAAACTTCGGAAGGTGTAGGCAAAAATGGAGCGCATTTTAATAAAAAGGCAATGAATTTTATAAGAGGCATTGTTCAAGGTCGCAGCCACCGCTATTTTCCCCACTCTCTACGCAGTTGGCGAACGGTCGATCGTTGGTTCGTGAAAATTCTGCATCCTTAGATGAGACATTTTCGGGAGCCGGGAAGGCAACACCTGGCTTTATCTAGATTTTCAATCACGTCAAATCAAAATAAAATAAATATTGTTTAAAAAAAATTGCAAAAGATGCTATGCGTCTAGCATTCATCGAGTATCCGCATTCTAAAGGTACGCAGCATATAGTTGGAGTCGTATTCAAGTCGGCGGCCGGGTTAGAATTCATTGAAAAACAACCCAAGAGACATGAGCACTTAGCGGCCTTAAATAAAAGGACGACGTCGGCACTTTTTACTCAGATTCGGCCGGAGAGTCATTTAAATGTTGAATGCAATTATGCAAATTCTCTTTACAAAAGTTTCCATACCTATCTCCGGGGATTAGAAGATAAAAGTTCACCCAGTTAAATAGAAAACTTATCTTTTAAAATAGTTAAGCAACTTGCTTCGTTCCAGGAGACGCGACACTCCGACAGAAATAAAGCATGATAAAAGCTAACTTTTTTGCAGGGCAGACAAAGTGATAAACAATCCCTCGTTTCCCAAACGTGAAGACCCAACTCCACTTCAACACCGCAAAATTTCCACTCGCAAATAGCTCAGTTGCGCTGGTCACAGAATCGTGTTTTGATGTTTAATTCTTGTAGATAAGATAAGAATAACAAGATCTGTCCAAACAGCAACTTTCTACGTTCAATATTAGCCGAGCTATTGCCCTTTGAAAATCTGGTTTTTGACGCCATCCACCGCGGTAGTGATACCCTTGGCCCTTGGTTTCTTCCACCTTGCTTTCATCAGTTGGCCGGTGTGACGCACATTAGTGCTGTTCATTCAACGTGAAACCCGGTTGAAAGCAAGGTGGAAGAAACCAAGGGTGTCACTACCGCGGTGGATGACGTCAAAAACCAGATTTTTCAAAGGGCGATGGCTCGATTAATATTGAACGTAGAAAGATGCGGTTTGGACAGATCTTGTTATTTTTAACTTATCTACAGGAATCAAGCGTCAAAATACGATTTTCCTACCAGCGCAAATGGTCCATTGTTGTAAATATTTATCAGGAAACCATCGGGCATACCTAGCTAACAATTTCACTGAATGACAAACAAAGCAGCAACATTTTGGACATATAGCGCACAGCCATATTCTTGTGAAAAAAGGAACTTTTAGATACAATTTTGCGATCTGGAAAGGAGATACAATCTTTTGTTTAGTAGCATATGCGTGAGCTCCGAGCAGTGGTCCAAGCCGAAACAACATTCTGACAGATGGTGAATGACCAGGACAGAAAGTATGAATTACAACACTAAGTACCGTGTTTTATTGTGGTTAAAAATGTACATGTTGAGAGGAATATGAGCAGCGCGAAACCTAAAAAATAACACTTAGGCGGGACAAAAGGAAATCTGCCGCAGGCAAAGGGCGAAAATTCGGCATTTTTTCAAATGCTTCCGTAAACGATCCTGCTCTTGGATTGAAATTCAATATGTTCCAGCCCTACAGTTTTTTTTTCTTTCCCGAGAAATACGAAAGAAAGCACATGCAGTGATTTGCAGTGATGATTTCATTGAAAAATCAAGTCCATTGAAACGATTAGTGACACGAAAAAACCAAAAATCTGCTCTGAAAAATGAAAAACAATAAATGAGTCATTGATCCCTCACCCCGCAAATGCACAGAGCTGACAAGATAAGAGGGGTTGCGTAATACCTGAACGAAGCTTTAAGTGAAATAAAAAGTGTCCTCTCTTTTCGCAATATGTGCATTATCCGGAAGTGGTCGTAATTATCCTAAGACTTCATGTCCGAGTCGACCCTCTCTATGCTGTTGAATCTCCCAAAGTTCTATGTCAAAGTTCCAAAGTGAACATCCCAAAGTTCTGGTAGATGATCCGGCAGTACCCAAAAAACCTTGCATCTCAACAATTCAACCTGCACTCAATAATTGAAGATTTCTGAAAGTGACTGTTTCCGAACGAAATAATTTAAGAGGTGTGACTTCCAAAAATTTGCAGCTTGAATTCTATTATTCTATTCCCCGGATCTTGCTTTGATGAACTTCACCTTATAATTTAATACTCCCAGTTTTTGACCTGTTAAGTTGGAAAACAACTTCTGTGGTAGATGCCATGCACTGCTCACTGCGGATGGACTGCTACTTAAGTTGGAGCCAGCGTCAGCCGCACTATTAAGAGCTCTAATCCGTGAGGAACGGCTTTTTTATGCGCAAGTTGCGTTAAAAAAGGAACCAATTCTTTGCCGATTTCTTCACAATTCTTCATTCTTGCTAATTGCAACTAGGCTGATGCTCATGAAGCCGTTCAATTTTGAGGAGCAGTTATTTCTGTTCGCTAATTTCAGTGAAAATGAGTCGCTCGTCGCACTTAATTACATACCCTACTAAAAATTGACTCACCTTAAAACCGTCCAATTTTTAACCAATATTATACGCTCCACTTTGAATTGATTCTTTGGTCGTTGTTAGAACGTACGCAAATAGGTGCTTCTGTTTATGAATCAGAAATATTAAGCGTCTCCAGCGCTCACCAACGGTGGAAATAGATTCACTTCAATAATTCATAGGGGCTTGCTACTTTCTCGCTCCCCTTGCGAGCAGAGGAAGTATTGGCATCATTTTTTAGTTCATTCTGAAATAGAGGCCTTTTAACTACTAGGCTTTGCAATTTGTTTCTTGTTTCCGTAAAAGTAGAAATCGGAACTGACGTTTGGACCAGTATACCGACTGTTGGTTGCAATTTTGCTAAGAACCGTTCGCTTTACACCCGCGTGAGAAAAATTAATTCAATTTTGGCGTTTCAAAATGTCTACTTTCATTGACACCACTCAAAACAAAACCCATCAATGGTTTCGCTGATGACCTGAAAAATATTGGGAAAAGGTCAAGAAAATTCGACGAAATTTTGCGGAATACTAGTGATTGGTTATCAAACTGCACATTTCTCAAAACTAGACTGGGCGAATTACTATGAAAAATGAACATGTTAAAATAAAATGTGTCCCTCGACTCATTTAGCGGGCAGAGATTGTGACGCTCTGTGATATAGGGCTGCCATATGTTTAGGATTTAAGTATCCTTCTTATTAATCATACAACAGAATTGGGTTGAGAGAAAAAATTATTGATGCTGGAGAACGGAAAACGAGAGGAAAATACAAAAGGGTTATAAAAATACTAAAAATATAATTGAACAAGCTTATGAGTATTATGTACAAAATTGTACCTAAAATGAGAGGTATGAAAAACTCGATTTAGACAAGATTAAAATAAAATAATAGCTTGCGTTGCCGGTCAATCTATAAAAAATGAAACAATGCCAAAAGAAAAGTAATAAAATAACTAACCAAAGGAGAATAAGAATCAGATGGATACATTTAAACTATGAACATTTATTTAAGTCACACTGAAAAGATGTCCATTTAATTCCATTCATAATGCGAATAGTTTAATATTTAACGAGTTTGTAAATTCCCGGGTACAGCTTGAAATTTTCCGGCACCGATGCTATTTGGATGAAGTATCAAATAAATACCTGAGCCGTTAGTGAACATCGATTCAGAATTGAGATTTTCGAAACACAGGAGACTTTATCGAATAAAATACAAATTATGTCTCAACTTTTAAAGTGAACGTTTGATGTGAAGAACGACGTCAGCTTCGAGCATGCATG